CGCAGGTGGAAACGTAGGTACAATATTGCGTGTGGCGTGCGAGCGGCTATGCGACGGCGGCGCTGTCCAACTGTGTGACAGCAGTGGGTACCGGTCGATACCGCAAACCGAGGATGACTTCTGTCACACACTCCAGACTGTCACACCGTACTTGCGTTTCCACCTGCGTGCCGGCACGCACGTCGAAGTATGAAAGCAGCCTTTGAGGTTGTACTGCGTATCGAACACTCTACTCCACGAGGTTCCTTTTTCCGAACTACGCCTTTCGCCTTTCACGCATGAAGAAGCTCAAGATATTGGCTGCGCATGAACAGTGAGAGGTGCTCGTCGTCGCCTTTGGGAAATAGTCAGAATAATCAAGCGATGTACAATAAAATTTGACCATACTACATACCATAGTAAAATTATGCAAATGAGTATAAATGGAGCAAACTGACATTCTTGTAGCACTTATGCTCAGAAATGACGGTCGTGAAGATGCTCAGAAATGACGGTCGTGAAGCTGCCCTGGAGCGACTCAGGTAACAACCTTCAGAATGTGTACACACTTCTCAAAATCGTCATACTGGAATGCATCGAAAGACGTACCGAGCGGCTGGCTGCTTTGCGTCATGTCCAGGCGTTCGAGCAAGGACCTACTGACGGACTCCTGTAAGACCCTGGTGTCCATTCACACGTTAGCGTTGTTGTACTTGTGAGCCCTGGTTGTGTGCATAAAGTCACTGAAGTCAGTCAGTATATAAAGTTTTTTCCACTGAGCGGAGCGCCTAAAATGTCCTTGGCTCCATGGTTTACCAACATCAGATTTAGATAACAAGCGTACTACTTAGTGTCTGGTATTCCTATATTTCAAAATATGCTATCTCTGAGCTTCATTTAGACTTGTTGTCGTTTTGTGTACTTTTCGAAGCTCTTTGCTCTTCACTTTTATTGGTGAGCTTTCGGCATATAATGCCTTTATCAGACCTTAATTATTCACAATATATGGCCGCATACAATCAGTTACTATCAGTTACAATACAAAACACATCGAATCATACCAAGGCAACCAGAAATACTGAGGGAAAAAAAGGGGAATGGACTCGAGGGGAAAATGGATGCCGCTCTTGTCCTGAGGCGACTAACAATAAGTGTCATCACTCCATCGGTCTCTGTAGCTCACGTATCTCCTCTTTCGTTCTCCGCATCAGATTCCTAGCGCCTTCTAGAAGTCCTGGAGCACCCTGTCGTTCGTGTGTTTAAAATCTCTAGGAAAATTTTATGGAAGTCCTTATATTCATTGAATTCTGGTCCAAGTTGTATCTGACTAAAACAACATTCGATTGGAGACTGAATGCCATCGTCAATTCAGAACTTTTTATTAAATATTAATACTCTAAGATAGCTTTGAGTATCGAGTAGAACTATATGCATTTCAGCTAGTTGTACTTCGTATAACAATAGATCGCTGCAAGACCACTTAGGAGCAGACTCTGGAAAGTTTCGAAATTAGAGGAAGCCATGAAAATAGAATAAAACCGTCCTTGAAAAATCGTACCGCAACGAGGAAGTGTCGATCAATTATCGTACAGCCGAAGAACGAAATCCCATAAGGTTTCTGTTGTAGGTAGAGTAGATGCAGTGAAAACAGAGGAAATACCTGAATCGACATCGGTTACTGTCATTTGTCACATGAATTTAACGTCGATTGAAATCGGGGTGACCGGATAATGGAGCGTCAGAGTACGTTGCGATTACTTGCTGGTTGACTTACCGCAGCTCCTCCCCAGTTAGCTCGAGGGCGACTCGCCGTATATGTGAAAAAGTGTTCTCCGCATCAGAGCAATAGCTGAGGAATGGCCCTGCTGCTTGAGTGCAGTCGAGCTCTTTCGGTCACGTTTTTATCAGGAAGCTTTGATGTCGCGAATGCGACCTCCTTCTATTGTTTTCGGTTAATTGTTGTTTACCTCTCGTTTTCTAAATCTGTCTTTTAGCTTTGATCGAGCCTATTCGATTATAGGCGTGATCTGCGCAATGATCTGGCGGGCTCGAGACAGCTATAAAAAGGCAAGTGCCAAGTACAATGGATGATATTGTCTCATTCGTCTCAAGCACCGGCTGGGCTCAAGCCCCGATCTCCTCACTTAACCTGTGTTACGTTCACTTATGTGGAGTAAATATTCAACTATTCTTACTCCTTTCGAACTAAAGTTGAGTCATCTCGACAACTCAAGTAGAGCGTCGTTGAAAAGAGTCTTTTCTGGTTTCCAGTTGGTATCGCTGTCTCCAGCTTAGTCGGGAGCAGTCATCGTTGATAGGGCAAGTGAAAAAAATCGACGCTTTGCTTGAAAACCACCATTTTTTTGCTTTTTATTTACAACGGTGCAAAATAAGGACCGAAGCACTAGGACTCACATTTTTCATGCTTCACTCCTGCACATGGCATTCCAGGGTTCCACCGATGGATCACCAATGATCAATAAGGGTTTGAGGACCGGCTCGTCGACGTTTACACCCAAAGAAGGACGAGTTTTGATGGCAATGTGTAGCCTGTACCATTTGTAGTAGAGGACACATGTTGGGAATTTAAACGACTTAAGGTGGGTCATGTCGACAGTGAAAGACAACGTCAGTTTTTTTTGGCTTACTGAGGCAGCCCCTTTGCGGAACGACGACTGAAATCTCGTCCAAATACTCCATCAATGCCATTTCCGTCATGGTGATCTCGTATAGACCCTATTTTCATTACTACTACAAATGCTTAGCTTTCATGTCCTGCCGATTTCCGCATTTTCTGCACCGTTCTCCACCAACACTTCCGCTTTTCAATGAAAAGGCACAGTTCACGATAAAAATGGTTCATACGACTTTCTTCTAGAATTATCCAGTAGCCTCAAAGGGTAACACAAAGGACGCTGCCGGGAGGAGAAACTCAATGGACAGGACATAACATGAGCTCTACTGCCGGATTGGTCGACGTCCACGCCCATCAACCGATGATTGTCAGAGGAGTGTCGAGGCGATACACGTTGCACTATTTGTACTAGGATCCATCATGCAATCAGCTGATATCGGGGTGCTGAGGTGATATTTTACTCATATTCTATTATTCTCTATTATATAATACTTTTTGCTCTGCGGTCCTTTATCTTGTTTTCTACCTTGACAGGATGAAAAATGTGAGTTAATTTTGCTGTTAATAGTGTTTTTGTAAAGTTATGCGTCTGACAATGAGTGGATGAATTTAATGGACATTTTCGCTAATTGTAGTCAGCTATTCGCACCGAGACCCACACTTACGCAATCATACTTATTGTATAGCTTGTCCATACACCCCTCCACTTAAATTTTTCTGACCTTATTCTCGTCCAGTCCCCTTTCGACGACTCTTTTGAACCTTCTTTCGTTTTGGAAACACCTATTCGCGTACTTTCTTCGCCTCCATCGCATTATTCCCACCTTCTCCTTCATTTTTCTGGATGACCCAAAATTATCCTGAACTGTGCCTTTACAAGGGTACCTCAAGCATACATAACTCGATAACATAACTACACTGATTTCTGTCATTTTAAAAA